GTGTCGCAGTTTCACGTCTCCAAAATGAGCGTACGCATGGGTCAAAGCTGGCGTGAGGCACCGCACATTTTCACGTCAAGTTTGGATTTTATAAATCAGAACCTTGGCGTAAAAAGTGGCGTACGCAAGTTTCTGGGCTCAAATTGTGCGTACGCCAGTTTTATAAATCTGACCCCAGGTGATGTTGAGTTTGCACAAAAACTGCCTTATAGAATTATGGCCAAAAAGTGACCACGACACATTTCCCACGTCTTTGGGATACTTCAAATGTGTTTTTGCAAAATTTAGCCAGTCTTTGATGTATTTTTGTAAGAAAATACTTCAGTTATGCAACCCTACCCCATAGCTAATATATGAAGAATATAGGAGATTTTTGTGACACATACTACACAGCCAATATTTGTGAGAAATTTCTGCAACTCCTTTAATGTTGCTGTAGGCCTCCTGGCAGCCTCCCTCACCAGTTTACTTCTTGTCGTTTCATCAATTTTGAATGGCCATTGAGTTGTTGGTAATGTCACTGTTGTGTCAGGCTTTCTCCACTTGATGATGACTGTTTTCACTGTGTTCCATGGTACGTCTAATGCCTGCTTGGAAATTCTTTTGTACCCTTCTGAAGGATATGTTTTAACAACGAGAGCCCTCTCATGCTTTGGAAGCTCTCTGTGGACCATGGCTGTAAGATGCTGTAAGAAAATGTCAGGAAAAGCCTCCTATAACATCTGAACTTTCTTTGGGACACTTTGATGTCTTTGGGACATCAGAGACAATTTAAAATGAGTTTGAATGTGATTAGTTAATTCTGAACACTCACACCCCCAGTTATGAGAGGGTGTGCACACTTGTGCAACCACCTTATTTGAGTTTTTTATTCCAATTTTTAATAAACCTGAAAAAAACTATATAAAACATGCCTTTGTTTGGCTAGCGGTTATCCTAGCCTGGATGAAGAATTGCCTTTTTCTCTGCATTCCATGTTCGGTGACTGTCATCATAGTTGATAAAGTGTTAATTACTAATGACTAAGTTACAGAACAAGACTTCAAATGTGAACCAAATATCTCTTTACGTCACAATTTATATTTGGATTTCCATGAATCCACATGGCACCTGATCAAACATTTTCATAAAGACTTGCACACACAATTTCCAACTCTTTGGAATGTTTATTTAAAATGAACATGTACATCTTACAGGCTCTAAAATGTGTCAAAAATATACCACAAATTTTATTATAATGTATTGACTGCATTGTTGTCTGCATAGAGCTATCATTGACATCTTAGTGGAGGAAGAAATCATTTGACATCCGTGTCTGTGGCAAATGTTCACAACATGAATTTGGCTTTATTTTTGAAAAGTTTAATGGTTTAAATTGATTTATTATGCTCAGCCACATTAAGAGTAGACAGAATGAGGGCTCACAGTGACATGGAAACAAATAAAAATGCACTAAAGTTTAGAAACCTTCACTCGCACAAGATAATTTATCAGTGACTAAATTGTCATGCTGGGAGAACAGATGGTGAGCAATTATCATGCTTATCATGTGACTATAAACAGTAATATTGACATTTAAAAAAAACTAATGACTGTTTCCTACCAGTAATTAACTAGAGCATCAAAACCAAAACATTGATTATCATTTGAATGATAATTAAGCCTGTTAGAAAATAATGTTAATGAAAGATAACGCCATTTTTGTTTGAATGCTAAAAACCTTAGTATTTACTTTTAAACAAGTAAGAACACTGACACCTTCAATAACTATTTTAGTAGTACTGAATATTATTGCCTGGACACAAATACTCTATATTATGCACATTTTAATAAATAACATGAGAAAAACACAAAGTCATAGAATTCCAGCTGTTGGGATGTTACATTGAGATGTGTTGTAATGAAATATGAGATAATGGTGAAACTCAAACTTTATTAACTGTGTCCGTATGCCAGATGCTATCACAGAATTTGATATCTCGTGTCTCCTGTATTCCGAATAATTTTACTTTCAACCAGGGGCGGAGCTAGAGGGGTGGCCAGAGTGTCCACCTCAGGTGCCACCCCCAAATAATGATGTTTACAGTGACTGATCACTTCAAATTTCTGTGGCAATAACGTCATCATATGTTTGTAACCCTGAGGCGTATCTGATGTTCTTGTTTAGCTCACTCCGGCTCCCCAGCTCGGCCGTCTGCTCCTTCAGGACCCTCTCCAGGTCCCGGTTCTTCTTGTGCATCTGCAGGTAATTGATCTGGAGCTGCTTCTGATATTTGATCACCCTGTCTTTTTCCTTGTTCCACGTCTGCCGCTCCTGCTCGAAGCTGCTGACCAGCATCTCTTGAGCATTCTTCTCCTCTCTGAGCTGCTGCTTCAGTCTTTCCACTTGTCTTTGGAGCGATTCATCGGAGACGTGTATCTTCGTGTCCAAGTCTTGCTCAGTAGAGTCTGATTCCTGGATTGGGCTTTCTAAGGACAACGAATGGCCTTCAAGTGGCAAACTTGTCTGCATTCTCTTGTCTTTGGCTTTAGTCAAATCTTGATTCTTCCCCTGAATGTCTTTCTCCAGTTTGCTCACTTTCTCCCTCAGAAAGTCAGCCTCATTTTTTTTGCGCTGGAGTTCATTTTGGCTCACCTATGCAAAAATGAAAATGTTCAAAGAATTAGAAGATTAAAGATGTTTTTGTGCAAAGGATCAGGTAAGATAATACTTTAAAGCTGTCTCTCATAAGATGGTAATAAATAAAACTAAAATGCAGTGTGTTTTATCCAATTTGCTTCCTAAAACTGTTAATAGGCACAATGAGATCATTCTGTGGTCATTTATGATCAAAACGTACAACAGACTAACCTCAACCTCCCTGGTGAAGGATAGGAGTTTGCCCTCATAGTCTTTATTCTGTTGCTCGAGCGTCTCCACTTTTGTCATGTTTTCCTTCAGTGATGCTCTCAGACTGACGATCTCATTGAGCTTATGGCTGACATCTGCTTGGCTTTCTCTCAGCTGCTGCTTCAGTAACGAGATTTCTCCTGTCTTCTGGCATACCTGCAGTCGGATAGAGGCAATTACAGTGAAAAAAACTGTGAAATGTTATCTATGATGTGCTCTCTAATAGATAAGTAAAGATGAAAAATAAAAAAAGGGTTGACTAAGACTGTCTTATCTGTAGATCGTCTGACATTGTCATTTCTTTTCAGGGTGATCTTTTATATCGTGTACATTTTTTCAGCTGTTAGTTTGTGTATTATCTGTAATGACAGTATCTGTAAACTTGTTAAACTTTAACTTGGTACATACAGCCAAATTGTGGTTGATCTGAAATGACCAGAAATGAACCTACAATGCCAGCAAAGATTGACCCTCAACTAGAAAAGAAATGTGGAAGCTTAAAAAATATAGTTTTGTAAAATAAATTATCACAAAGAACAAGATTTTTTTGATCTCCTGAAACTTTTTTATGCACTTGTACAAAAAAAGAGATTCATATGCATAGATGCATACAGTGTCCAAAACTTCTAACCAGTATGTTAATTTAAAGTTCTAACAGAAACAAATCTAAATTTGGTCTAATCCAAGGGTATTCAATTCTGGTTCTCGAGGGCCGCTATCTTAGATATTTCTCTGCTCCAACACACCTGATTAAAATGAACAGGTGACTTATAGGTTTCTGAAGATCTTGTAGAGATAATTCAATCATTGAATCAAGTGTGTTGGAGCAGGCAACAAGTAAAACATGCAGCATAGTGGACTTCGAGGACCAGGATTGGACACCCCTGGTCTAAAAAATGAAGGCTACCCAAATACAGATCCTTAAAAAGTTGCAAATACACCAACATGTTTAATAATTTGGACACTTTATTTACATGTACGTTTACAAAATATTTAATTTGTCTGTATTCCAAGTTTAGGATTTCATAATGGTAACAATTTTATCAAAAAATAAAATTGTACTGGCTGTTGTTTTGTTCATGAGCAAATACTGAAACAAAACTGAGCACTTTGAAGGTAAAATATCTCCTGTGCATTTCCAGTACCACTAATGTATCTGTAATAAATATGTAAAATAGTCCATTTAGTGGCATAGGAGAAGATCTCATCACATGTGACCCACCTCCCACTGAGTTTCCTCAAGTGTTGGTACGAGTTGTGTGCTCTCCTTTTCATACGACCTCAGTCTGAGTTCAACAAGATTCTTCTCTCGAGTTAGCTTGAAGACATCTTCTTGCAGCTTGTCATTCTTTGCCTGCACAAGAGTTTATTTGCAGTTCTATGGAATTAGAGTGCACACAATCTGTCTGCTAACTCTTTGTATTTTAGGTCAATTTATGTGCTAAGATCTAGCGTCATAACAGATATGGCGATCGTTAGACAGATGGACTCTGACCTGGAGCTGGCTGACTTGCAGCTGCAGAGCATGGTGCGTTTTTGCAGCCATTTGTGAAACTTGCAGTAACTTTGTGGAGCAGTGTTGCTTCAGGCCCTCCATCTCCTCTGCACAGTACCTTTGTCTCTCCTGAAACAACTGGCAGGTGTCTGCTTCCTTCTCCTCTAAACTCACCTGTTGGAAAGTACAGGCGTCAGAGGTCTACACAAGCGCCAGTCTCTACTGAGCTGATGTTTTACTTTACCATGTTAAAAGTTTGGTACCTGTAGCTCCTGCAGTTCGGTTTCTCTCTCCAGCAGCCTCTGTTCTAGGAGCTCAATCAGAGACTCGTCCGTCGTTACCGGGGACCGAATACCACCTGTGGTTTCAGAGACAGTCCTTGGCTCCTCTGCAGACAGTGGGGAGCCAGGATCCTCATTAGTCTTAGAAGCCAAAATGTTGCTATTCCAACACGCCTTGGAGCTGCAGTCGGGGTTGGCATTATTTCCGTTGACCCAGGGAGGAAAATTGGGTTGTCCTCTGCTGAGGCTGTTTGCAAGAGCTGAGCTGCCATCACTCTGACAGACGGGGATGGTGGAAGCTCTGAGGCTGCCACTGGTGCTGTGGGTAGGCAGGCTAGACATGGAGTTACGTCCAGAGTCGGAGAGAGTCCCTGAAAGACAGAGTTTGCATTTAAGTTGTCTATGGTTCACTTTAAATTGTCCATTTTTAAGGCAACTATTTTAGCATACTGACAGAAACCTAAGGTGTCTTGCTTGTGTCCAACATTTGGACTTCTTGCTTTCCTCAGGGGACAAAGGATGTGGTCCAGACTGTTGTGGCCAATCTCTGCGGATGAAGGCCTTGAGGGGTTTGCGGACTTAAAGGCAGTGGAGTGGACCAGCGACTTCTCAGCAGAAGTCTAGAAGAATAAAAATGACACTGTTTACATTTTTATTTTCAGTCACTTCCCTTAGCTGACAGCACAGCAGCAAGGACGTGAGAAAAAAAAAAGTTAGGAGAGGAGTTGTATTAAAGCCTCTGAAAAATCACAGCTCATTCCTACAATATTTATTATCACATGCTGGAAGTTTGTTCAAATAAAAGGATGGGCTTTTCTTCACTTGTGTCACTTCATATTAAAAATGGAACCACTGAAGCGTGCGAGTCTTGCTTCACCACGAGACGACACTATTAAAAGCCTCACAACCGTAACTGCAAGTAAAATTCACTAGACTGTCGTAAAGAAAGAGAAAACTCATTTCTGAGATGAACCTATACTCTGCAGGCCCCATCTGTGCTGTTCAGGACTGTCACTAGCCAGACCATACCTCCCTTCCCTTCTGTGCTCCTCTTTTCTCCTCGGCAGCCTACATTTCCACTCCATGTGCTGTCTAAGAGAAGATGAATAGCTCCCCTCCTAGATATTAATAATATGAGCTATTGCTGAAGTGTAAGAGGTAAGGCTTGTGAGCTCAGCATTCCTTCACACCGACTTCATGGCCGGGATGCCTCTTTCCTTGATTTTTAAATTTTTTTCCCCCTTTCAATCTGTCAAATACTTGCTGGCCCTCGATCTCTTCCCCCCCTTTATCTGCCCTGTCTCTACCCAGAGGAACAAAAACTTATTGAAGGAGATGCTTTGGCTCATGTTTTCTTGACAAGAAATTACCTCTCTGAGAAGATCAAGGCATTCATAGGCCATTAATCTGAGGAGAGGGGTGATTAAAAAGCTATGAAGTTTTTAACACGGGTTGTGAGAAATGGCTGCTACTTATTAAATTACTGCTGTTGATTTATTTGTCATCCTCCACATCGCTTTGAGGCTTTCAGAGTCTTTTGAAGACGCTACATTTAGAGAGTTCAATGAGATGAACTGTGCATCTTTCATGTCAGTATGCTAAACATGAGGCTAACAGCAGATAGTTTGCTGGAGAGGAGGACTTGCATCATCAAAGCTCACAAATAAACAGCAATTTGCTATGCTGATACCAAGAGTCAAGCACTATGTGAGGCAACCTCAGATGAACCTTGTTATTGCAATTTTATCACACGGGGACATACCAAGCTCCCCCGTTCTGATAGTTTTCCAGGCATGAGCAGGAGCTTTGGTTTTGGTTGCTGCCGACCATCTGAGTTTCCATCTCTGGTCACAGTTTCCTCCAGTGATCGTTCCCTGTGGTACCCTGACTTTGTCTTGTTACTCACCTTGTGAGAAACAAACATACAAAAAAAAATTCACCCATAAATGGTCAAAAAAGAACATAGTCGATTCAGGGAGATAACATTGTCGGTTTGTGTGATCTTACCTTAATGTAAAAGAAATCCTCACTTCTCCCTGACCTGGAGTGCGAGAGGCCTTTAGAGTGATGAGTGGAGGATGAAGAGCCCTGAGCAAAGCCACACTTTAGCAGCCCGTCAAGACTGCAGCCTCCGCTCTTTCTGTGGTGACTCGCTCCCTCTTTTAACCTGTGCTCCGAAGCCTTGCAGTATTTGCTGTTGAGGCTGTTGCCATTAATGAGGCTGCTGACGCTACCCATGATCCTGCGAGCATCGGCGAGGACAGAATGGTTCTGAGGTCCAAATGGTCAAGCTATAGAGAGGTGACGGGAGGACTCGTTTCATGACCCCAGAAGATTCCTTTCAGTGGCTTCATCTACGAAACAGGAACAATATATGTTAAAAATATAAATTTAATAAATTGTCAGAATTGTAAGCAGTATTTTCCTTATGCAATGGCAAAGCATGCAGTCTACCTCTAACATATGGTTAATAAAAACATAATGTTGATTCACTGCCAGGATTGAAAGGTTTTTTGGGCATGTCAGTGATACGGAAAGAAAGATAAGAAGAAGGATAAAAGTATGGCTATACAAAGACAGACCCCTAATAAGGTGCAATACTTTGTAAAATATACCAGAAAACTGGTATACTTTAATGTTAAACACCAAACAAACTTGTTTCTCCACTTAAAGACAAAATGCCAACAAGTACAGTATAACAAAGTGAAAATGGGCAATAAGCAGCTGCTTGTGTGGTCTAAAGGTATAGAAACAACTCAACAAACTGCATTAGCTGCAATTTGATAAAATGACCCACTGATTCACATATTTCCAATCTGAGCTCAGTTGTTGTAGGTAATGGTGTGCTGCACAAACTCCTGAAGAACTGCAAGTTTAAATAACTTCAGTACGTATTCAGACAGTTGCATTAAACTTTTACTGAAACAGAAAACAACCTGGAATACTTTAACGTTTCTGTTGACTTAGTGATGTCTCTGCTATTGCAGTGTTATGGCTGCTGTTGCAGGGCCCTTATAACAGATTCACATCACCTTCATGCACAGCAGCTCGTGGAAAACAAATGATGAAAACACCCCTTTTATTTACTGGAAGAAATGCTGCAAGCTGCTGTCTATAACAAATGTCACTGAGATTCTGTTTTAAATGATCATGGCCTACTTTATTAGGTACGCCTGCTCATTTACTTGTTAAGACAAATATCTCATCATCCAATCACATGGCAGCAGCTCAATGCATTTAGGCATCTAGATGAGGTGTTGACGGCTTGCTAGATTTCAACCTGAACATCAGAATGAGGAAAAGAAAAGGAATTGAAGTGACTCTGAATGTGGAAATGTTGTTGGTACCAGCTGGGCTGCTTTGAGTTTTTCAGAAACATGCATTTTCAAAACCCCTTGAATCCCCTTCCTTCCCTTTTCTGATGCTCGAGTTAAACTTCAGGAAGTTTTCTTCACCCCGTCTACATGGCTAAATGCATTGAGTTGCTGCCATGTGATGGCTGATTAGCTATTTGTATTAACAAGAAATTGAACAGGTGGACCTAATGAAGTGGTTTGTGAGTGTATCTGAAAAGTAGATGGGCTATTGTGCCCATCCCTTCTGTTTAGTCTGGTCTAGAAACAGGTGTGTTCACGTTTGGCAAACAAAATGTCTATTTGGAATTTTGCCTTGCTTTGTGCATTTAAATGTATAGTCTGCTATAGAATTCAACATTTAATAGACCATTTTGTAGTTAAAACTTGTTACAAATATGTAAAATGAGCCGACATCCCGTTTTTTCTTTAAACAGATTTGTGTTAAACTTTCCTTTAGGATCATAGATGATATTTGCCATAAATATCTAAGCTATAAATCGGCTTTTTAAGCTTGTTATTTTTTTATTCCAGTGGTGTATATAATAGCAACTTCTGTGTTGTCTTGGTTGACCTGTAACCCGAAAAAGTTAGGCTCTGCTAATACTGCTAAGTACAATTGTCTATTCTTTGGATAGTGTTCTTCAGAATCCAACTATTGCCTAACCCATGTCAGTTCAACACTTGTGCGGTGCAGCTTTCTGAATAATGCTTGGCACAGAGCAACACTGATGACTTTCATCAATAAAAACAGTTTCATCAAATGAAAGCTAAAGAAAATCATGAAGCAAACATTCCTGATTATAGTTGACAACCCTCATTATTTATTTATTGAGCTCATATCATTACTAACCACGCTGCTGCACTGTCCCCACCTCCTTCAGAAGGCAACCAAGACCCCAGATGCTGCAATCATGATCTCTAACCCACAGGGGAAAAATCAGCTCAGTAGTGATTTTTTTTATGGCAAAGGGCTCCACACTGGCTGATCTATTCTTTTAGAACCACCTGGTCTTCAGCCTTTAAGCATTTTATAATGTCCACAGCAACAAAGCCTGGAACATATTAGTTTACACTACATTTGACTCAGGGTTTGGAGCTAAATTGCATTCATTGTCCTGTTGTGCCGGGATGAAACAAAGGAGGAGAAAAAAAGGCCGAATGAAGGAGGAAGATCAAGATCAAGCCTGTCACATTTCATTACCCCCAAAAACAAGTGATGTGAGGGAGAGAGAAACAAAGCGAATGTGTCACGTTGGGAGGAATCAAATCAGTGGGACAGAAAGTGGAGCAGTACAAGTTTAGTACAGACAAGTGGTGAAAGAGAAACAAAAAAAAACTTTTCAATCTTTTTGAACAGCACAGGAAGACAGGTTTAACACACAAGTATCACAAAACACAACTTCTAGCATCGCTTCGGTTTAGATTGTTTTTAAAGTTCAAGTTGAAGCTCAAATTAAATCAAAGTAAACAGCCTCTAGATGTTGCTTGATGAAATGTGATAATAAAATTCAGGCAGCACAAACACACAGCATAAGCAATCCTCTGCGTCACCGTGGTAAATATTCTCTGACGCTGCCGTGTCTGTCTGTGTCTTATTGTGCCTGCATGTCTGCCACTAAATACAAACTGGAGACTATCACTCTCAGATATCAACATCTGCCTCTGACAAGGGACCTGTGTAATGAAACAATAGATTTTACTTACTGCCAGGCCAAACTAAGCACCCATCTTTTACAAAGCCCCTGCAGAGTCATCTATCCAGTCTTGGAGGAAACAAACGGGCGGACGTGTGTTTGTGTGTGTGTGTCTGTCTGAGTGAACAGGCGAGCGACAAATGCGAACACTATCACTTGGGCCAGGAGGGTCTGCTAACCGTTCTGTTCAGGGGGTGGGTCCTCCTGCTTGTCCCGTCAGCTTGTCCCCAGTTTTGCATCATAACTGATATGTAAATTGTATGTGTGTGTGTGTGTGTGTGTGTGTGTGTGTGTGTGTGTGTGTGTGTGTGTGTGTGTGTGTGT